AAAAATTTGATCATTTTGGAGACTTTAGAGCTCCAAAGTGCAAAAAGTAAAGAAGTCCAACAGCGTGTTGATGAGAGTGAAACGTCAGCGGTGGAAGACGAGAGTTCACAGAGTTCAGCCTGTTATTTTGATCCGTCGCAGCACTTTACCGAGAGCCACGATGTGCACATTCACACATACAGCGTGTATAAATAGCTGTATAGATGTATTTATGTATATATGTACGTCAGATGGGAGGTGATCTTTACGCTCCAGAGCTGCTGAAGTGGAAACTGATAGAAGTCAGAAGGACACGGATACATAAAACATGACCCAGTGAGCCGGCCTTGTCTTAAAACCTGGAAACTCCCTCGAGGGCGGCGCTATGATGCCTGTTATTAATGGATGAGGCTTCGCTCGCTGTATGTTTAAGTGCTCGCAGCGTTTTTGTCTGTTTCTATGAATCGGTGCCGGAGAAACACTCGGATACACGGTGAAAACAAGGAAAAGTCGCCGCCGCTGGACTAAAAGAATCATTGTCAGTGTTGTGTAGTTAAAATATCAGTGATGAAGGTACATTATTTTGTCCCTTGTATGTTTTCACAGGGAATCAACGGATGTGTTCCTTCACTTTACCACAGCAGAGACAGAAGAAGTGAACTCATCATGAGAGGAGGAGTGGCATCCGAAAAAGAAGCTCTTCTTCTGGGTAAGTATGACCGGCAGAGGCTGAAAGGTTCTGCTTCAGGAGAGACGATTATAATTCCTTTATTTATACGCCACCTGTTAAAGACAACATTACAGACAAAAAGAAAAAAAAAAAAAAGTTAAAAATGGTAACAGATTCAAAATTTAGGATTTCAATATAAATACATTTTTAGAATGAAAAAACAGCTGGTATAAATAACATATCAAAAGCACCACAAACACTGGAGACAGGAAAAGAGATCAAATATTAAAAGATGAAAGGAAATTATTTTTAAAAGAAGAGACTGATTCTGCATCCTGATCGCTCTCTTTTTTTTTTAACAGATTATTTTCTGTATTTATTAAAAACATTCAAAATGATCAACATTTACATTCTAATTTCACAAAGATTTTTCATCTTATTGAATAGATGAAACTGTTAAATTCAAGTGTAAATATATTTTTAAAATTTGATACAATCGGTGGAAATTAATAGAAAAAGAATGTTATTTAACACAGATCTATCAAATAATAAATATATAATATATAAAAGGCAGTTCATTTGTTTTTGTGGATGTAAGTATCTTTAATTAAACATTAAAAACTAAAAAAAAATCACTTGTAACCATTTTCGTGTGCAATATTACCAAAAACACGTCAATACTTGTATTTTACTTTTTTTCTAATTAAATAACACAAAATTATCAATAAAGTAACAAAAATAAACAGTTCCTTATGTCTAATTTAAGTTAACATTAAAACATTTCCATTTTAATTTCCACATTTTGCAAAAAAAAAAATTGTTGCATATTTTTGAAATGTACAAAATCATAAGTACCCCAAAAAAATCAGATGTTAAATACCATTAAAAACCCGTGACTGTCTGTAACTGTAAATAACTGTTAGATTTCCATTTTTCCAATGAATAAAAACATATTTTTAATAGATGAAAATGGTAAATATAAGTGTAAATACATTTCTAGAATTAGATACAGCTCACGGCAATTAACAGAAAAAGAAGCACTGACTGTGATTTTACAGTAATCTAATAAATTATATATATATTATTTATATTATACGTAGTTCAGATAATTTTTTTTTTTTTTTTTAAATGGACACTCAAAGACGCTTTACAAAGAACCAAACATTAAACACAGAAAATTATTTCATTTGTACCTGTTTCAGGTTTCAGCACTAAAAATAAAAAAATGCACAAAAAAACACGAGTATTGCCAAACATACCATCAAGCAGCCAAAGAAAGTTTCTGATGCTCCAGATATAAAAGAAAGTCTGTGTTCAGAGGAAGAACTAGAGTCTGAAACTGAAACAACTGCTGCATCCGTCGACAGTGTTTGTGTCGTTACTGTCACTGCCAGAAGGGGGAGACAAGAGCACAAACACCTTCCAGTCATTTACAGATATCAGAATGTGTTTATTTTTTTTCTAAATGGATAAATATTTCTTCTGATAGATGACATATTTCATGTTTCCACGATGCTTTCTCGCTGTAGCGTCTCTAAACCCAGATCAGTGAACTCAGCAGCTGCGAACCGCCGTCGTGTGTTTGGTCTTGTTGTGGCACAAAGCTTCACTGTTTCACACGAGTTTTTCAGCCCGAAGCTGTTCTGGTTCTGGACTTTCTAAAGCCTCCGTCAGCTTTTTGGAAGCCGTGGCTCCTCTTTCCTTCTCTGCAGCTGAAGCCCAGAGCTTTCCTGGACACCGTGAGATCTTCTGGCGTCCCAAGTTGGACATTCGTCCTGGAAAACCGCTCGGGCGTTTATAGCGGCGGAGTGGAGGCAGCTGAGGGGAACTGTGTGGGATTTTCTCATCAGTTTTTAGCCTGTCTTGGACGTATTTTGACGATTTCACGCTCCTGTTGCGCTTTTAAACGATCTGAGTCACGGTTGGCACAAAAACGACAGAACTGTTGTTCGCCCGTATTTGCAGAGTCGTTGGACTTTCGTTGTTTTTCACATTTCAACACTTAAACACCATTAAAAAGAACAGCTCAAAGGAATATTAGTGCCTCGACTTAATCAGGCTTGTTGCTTCGAGGGCAGACGAGACGTGTTTTGGCGCTTCAGAGTTTCTCTCCTGGGACGACATGCAGAGAGACTTCAGTCAGAATATTATATTTTATAATGCTTGTTTCCACATGTCTGAACATGGTTTCGTGTTAGAACTTGTAGAACCGACATGCGTCAGCCACCGCTGTCGATTAACCCTCAAACCCCTGAGATGTTTCTGGGCGTTTTTGGCTCCTGTCACATTTTCCCTCACTGCTTTTCACTGCAATATAAAGTCCTGCAGCTCTACGGAAACAGAACAACCAGGACTAGAAGGAGAAAGAACTCACAGATGTGTTCTTCTCTTCCATAAATCAGAAAAAAACACACAAAAAAAGTTGATTTTCTTTAATTATTACCTTTTTTTTTATTGAAAAAATCAACATATACAACATTTTTCTGAGTGCCCACAGCTGTTGCTATCACTGGAAAATAAAGGTGACTCTACATACTCTAGATATTTAACTACTAACATTTTAAAGTTGTTTCCACACTTGTCTCGGCGTACACTGCCTGCAGTTCAACCTAGTTCAACTGAAAAGTCGCTGAATTTTTGTCATGTGACTGTCGGTCACAGCTGAGTCGCTGATGGATCCACGGTCGTGCAGGAGGAGGGCAGAATTTTTTTGTTTTTTACAGAAGCTTTTGGCGAATTTCTTAATGAGGAATTTGGACTAAAGGAATTCTTGATGAAAATTTTGAGCTTCGGGGCTGCAAGGTGGAGCAGTCGGTAGCACTGCTGCCTCACAGCTAGAAGGTCGCTGGTTCGCGTCCAAGTGAGGACACCCGCGCTCCATGTTCTCCATGTTCTCCCCGTGCAGCGTGGGTTCTCTCCAGGTTCTCCGGCTTCCTCCCACAGTCCAGAAACATGTTGAGGTTAATTGGTGATTCTAAATTGTCCGTAGGTGTGAATGTGAGTGTGCTTGGTTGTCTGTCTCTAAGTGTAGCCCTGTGATAGACTGGTTACCTGTCCAGGTGAACCTGCCTTCACCCTGAGTCAGCTGGGATAGACTCCAGCCCCCCATGATCCTAGAGGTGGAGAGATGATGGATGGATGGGTTTTGAGCTTAAATTTGGTTCTTTTAACCGACAGAGCTACACGGACCGTCTGAAGATGTTAAAATCCAACATTTGTTTCTGTTCATACAGTATCTGGCTGATAAATGGTGTAACTTTGACAAATTCTATGAAGACAAAATGCAGGTTTTGGGGTTCAGAGGGTTCAGAACATCTCCGGCTGTGCCCACCTCTCCATTATCTTATTCATGGAAAATACTGGTTTATGCTTGAAGCCTTCTGCCCACTGGCCGGTCTGCCTCTGACTGCTCCTGCTGGCTCCGCCGTGTCCAGGAAAGATGTGGATCTAATTTAGGTAAACGTGTGCCGAGTCTCGCTCACAGCGTTTCCAGTACGCGGCTCCAGGTGGATCGCGCACAAACTGGGATTCTGAAGTGTTTGACTGGGACTCACTGACGGCTGTTAATTTGATTTCCAGAGAGACGGTGCAGGCGGCGGGCGGGCGGGGCTGCATGCAGGAGCTTCCTCCGGTTTGATTGCTCTGTGCAGCAGCAGCAGCAGCAGAACGTTAAAGATGACTGAACACACCTACACGTAAAATGAAGCGCAGAAGAGCTCTTGACATTTAACTCCTCTCAGCGCTGAGCACCGCGTTCGCACAAACACCCTCCCTGCTGTCGGCGGGTTCGGAAGGAGCTCTCAAGCAGAACCGGTGAAGCAGCCGGAAACCTTCCACCGCGGCAGAGACTCAAACACAAACTGCCTGAACCCTGCTGTCGTCTTTTAAACTCACAAACAGGCCTGTCTGTCCGCGCAGGGCCTCACGCAGCAGCTGGACCGAATGCATTTTGTTTTTTCGTCTCACAAACCCTGGTGGTGTTACGTTGAGGAAAGCAGAGAGAGATCTGTATTTGTTACCACTTTTGTCCACGGCGGAGGAGAGCAGCAGAAACAGCAGCACATTTATCTCCCTTAGAGGCGCCAAGAAAATCCAAGTATGAAGGAGCGAGGAGGCCTGGCGCTCCGTCTTCCTCCCTGCGAGCTGCTGCTGCTGCTGCTACTGGGAAGATTTTCACCCAGAGAAACACTTTATGAGACCATGTGGCCTCTTTTCATACACAATCAAATCGAGCTGCGTGAATTTCCATCGTTGTTATCCCTGAATGCAAAGGCCAAAAGAAATAAACCTTGAAATATTACACTTGGTGTATCGACAAAAGCAAAAAAATAAAAAGCACAACGGAGACAGACTGAGGCCTTGTCCACACGTAGCAGGGCTTTTATAAATCTGAATATCCTCCCCCTGACACACCACCTCGTTTTTAGAAAAAAAATCATCCACACCTAACCGTGTAAGTCAGGGGTGTCGAATCCTGGTCCTCGAGGGCCACAATCCTGCATGTTTTAGATGTTTCCCTCTTCCAACACCCCCTGTTGTGGAAATTCTGCCAAGAAAATTAAATTTGTAAGTGTCCATAGCGCAATAAATGATAAATATGTATGCATCTGAGATCGAGGTTCTCCAAAGCAAGCATGCAAGTTGATTTATGGAGCATCTTATCATAGACGGAGGACGTTCAAAGTGCTTTACAGGCAAACGTAAAAGGAAAAAAAATGTAGTCAAAATGAAATCCTTAAATAAAAAACAACACGACAGTGACATCAAGTGCAAATAGATTTATAGAAGAATTAAAACTGATTGACTAAAACAGCTAAAAATGACCAGAGATGAGAAAAATACAAGCATGGAAGAGATCAAGTCTTCTGCTCGCTCTTGAAAATGGCTGCGTTTGGGGAAAATTTTAAGTTCAAAGGGGACCAGGTTCCAGAAGGATGAAGACCAAACACCATTTTATTCCATCTGGTTTGAACTGTGGCCTCCGCTGACTGACTGACCTGCAGAGTTTAGAGATTCTCCAGGCTTCAGCAAACATATCTCCAATATATTTTGGTCTCGGGGACTAACAGACATTAAATAGGGCCTTAAATTCAATCCTATATTTATGTGTAATGGTCAAAAAGATTAAAAAAGAAAACATACTTCATGCTACTGTCTCTCCTTCCAGCACAGGTTTGTCTGTTGGTTTTTTTCTAACTGTTCCACTAGCGAGGCGCTCCACAGAATGATTTGTGTGGGCCTTCAATAGACAAGATAAGGACTCGTGTTCAGTCGGAGGCTTCAGGGTCGAGTTGGCCTCCTGAGTGGATGAGAGACAAACATTCACACGAGAGAGCAGACAGGAAGTACATCAAAACATGTGAAGCAGTGCAGTGATGTTAGATCATCTATATAGTACAGTAGTACAGTGAAGAACAGATCATCTGTTGGTTCACCTACAGCTGGTCACTATGAACAGTCCTGACGTCTGCTGTGTGCGTTCATCCATGTGAGAAACAGGATGTGATCTGTGTACAAATCAATTCTGGTGCATATGAGCTGATCTGTGGTGAC